TCCATTCTATAGTGTAATCTATAGTCTAGTTCATAGTTTATTCTAGTCTATAGTATTGTCTTTGGTATTGACTATAGTCCAGTCTATAAACCAGACTGTAGTCAAGTTTATAAGCCGAACTGTAGTCCAATCTATTAACCGGCCAGTAGTCCAGTCGACAGTCCAATCTATATCTATAGTCTATTATATAGTACCTATAGACTATCGATAAAAATTTCTTGACTTAAACACAGTTTAAGAATATTTCTTAATTTTAACAAAATTGTTTGTTGGGTATGAACGGAAGTACAATTTTTCTTCTTATATACAATATAAAGTATGGCAACACTACACGTAACGGAAATAACAAAAGATGCGTATTTTTCTTAAAAAAAAAAAAAGAAAAAATATTTTCTAAAAGCACACACGAATAAGAAAAGGAAGAGCAACAAAAAAAGAATTAAAAGAAAAACTAAATAATAAGATTCCATTAAATTGATTGCATTCCACATTTTAAACACAATGAAAAAAGAAAAAAACTTGAGCACATTTTTTTAAAAAATTGCTAGTGTTTGGGTAAATTGAATTTATCTTTTTTTAAAGAGATAAATTTATATTTTGCTCATCTTCATCTGCATGTCGTAAAATGAGAAAAACAACAAAAGTAAGAAATTGTTTACAAACTTGAGACTTGTGCATGCAGTATGCGACTATTGTTGTTATTGCTGTTTTTGTATTCTTATTGTATGTAGTTTGAGTTGTTCTTGCTGTTGTTTTTGTCTTGAACCCTTCGCAATCTTTTTAATCAGTAGTTACTTTGAAAATACACGAAATTCTTTTCAAAAACTCTCAACTACAACAGTACACCAACCGAAAAAAATATGTGAAAAAAAATCGCACAAAAAATGTAAAGAATCATCATCATCATCATTGTACAATATTATTTACTCACACATGCAGATCAATTACTTTACTTGTATTCATTTATTCTTTTGTACTTGTTTTTTTTTTTTTTTTTGTATTTTTATTAATTTAACTACTGCGAAATTGAAAAATTATCAATTCATCAAAAAAGAACAGAAACAAATCAAAAACAAAAAATAAATTAATAAATGTATAGTAGAGCTGCATTAATCGCATTTAATGTACAATTTATAAATATGTATGTAGGTATTGTATGTATACAATATTAATTTAATAAATTTTTGTAATAATATTCATTTAAATTATAGATTTGTTAACGTTAAATTTTTGCACAATTTGTTCCGTCATTTTCTATATACATTTTTGTTTAATATTTAAGTAAAAAAACTAATTTTTTGCTGAAATTCTGCTTGTTTTTTTTTTTTTTTTTTTTTTTGGTGTATCTAAAAGTTTAGTTTTTTTTTTGCTGGTCGTATTTTTTTCTACACAAATTATATCTTCCTTTACAAATTTATTCGCGTTTTTTTCTAATGTATTTTACCATTTAGAAAAACAGCTGCGTTCGTTCGTTGTTGTTGTTGTTGTGATTGTATGTTGTGTTTTTTGTTTTGGTTCAGTTTTTTCTGAATGGAAAAGTTCAAAACAAAAAAATACACATGCAAAAAAAGAGCGGCGCATTTAACCGCACTATACTCTCGCCCCAACGCTTAAAAAAACGATCCGAAATTTAACCGTAGTTACGATGCAAATTGTATGAAATTTGCAAAACAACTGAAGGAATAAAATTTTTGTTGGTGGAGCACAATTTTTTGTTTTGTAGGTTTTCTGTGTGTGTTTGTTTGTATTATTGTGAATTGTATTTTGCATTTGCTTTTGTGCATTCTTCGTTATTTGTATAGCCCCCCAAATGTGTGAATGGTTGGTTTTTTAAGTAGTAGTTGTTATAAGAAATGTGTAAATAACCGTTAATTCAAAATTTGGTGTAAAATCTAGTTAAACCCTAAAGCTTACAAATATTATTAATTTATAAATACCCAGTGTGCTTTGCTACCCTAAAATCAATACGTATAAATAAAAAACCCACTTAACGATTTTAAAGATTCTAACTACAATAGTTTTCCAGATTTATAATATGTTACATATGAGAGATGTCAAGCAAATTATTGCAAGTTCGCCAGTTTCTACCTATCTCCAATTTCTATCTATCTATGAAAAATTTTTATAATATAAGAGTTTCCAAGATACACGAAATTTTGTATTTAATTCATATATGTTGTGTCAAGCCACCCATTGAAAGTCTGCCCGTTATGCTCTAAATGTTCACATAAATGTCAAAGTTCTTCATGTAAAATTTGATGATATACGATACGCGAATTTTTCTATTTGATTCATGTGGGGGCTTCAAGCTCCCCAGATGAAAATTCGCACTTTTTCCTCCAATATATTCAGATGAATGTTAAAGTAATTTATGCAAAATTTTAAGAATCAAGTTCTGTTAGTTTCCCAGATAAACAAAATTTTATATTTAATTCACATGGCAGGTGACAAGCCCGTTATACTCTAAATGTTCAGATCAATGTCAAGATTCTTCAAGTAAAATTTGAAGATTATAGCTCTAATAGTTTCTCAAATTTGCGAATTTTCCTATTTAATTCATATGGGGGCTTTAAGCCCTCCCAGATGAAAGTCCGCTTTTTTTCCTCCAAAATGTTCAGATAAATATTTAAGTTCTTCGTGCAAACTTTGAGGATTTTAGTTCTATTAGTTTCCCAGATAAACGAATTTTTGTATTTAATTAATATTTTTGTATTTAATTTATACGGGAATTGCCACGCCCCCTAATCATATTGACACTAAAGTGGCTCCGACAAAATTTGAGGACTCTAACTGTTATATTATTTCAAATATACGGATTTGATATTTTCTTAATATGGGCGTGGCTCCTCGCTCACTTGAAATTTCAAAATTAAAAGGAGCCCATCACCTATTCCAGACATACAGAAATACGCTGTGAAAATTTCAAGAAAATCGGTTCAGCCGTATAGTTGTCTATAATGTTCAAACATATAAATATACAAACAAACTCAAATTCATTGTAATATATATTATAGAAGAAGATAAAATAACGACGATTCAAAGAAATCTTCAAAATTCGAACTTATTTTCGAAAATATTTTACAATATGTAACAGGTATAGGAAATTATATTCTACTTTTTGAAGTACAAGTAGAATATTTGTAACATTGAATATTTCATTTATTCACAGTCTATGTGATGTAGTATGTAGTCTTGTCTATAATCTAGTCTCTTTGATAAGCCTGTTGATTCCTCTACAGCGTTCAGTATTCTGGTATATATCAACCTCTCCAAGCACATGCCTAATGTATCCTGAAGGCAAATCGGTCTATAAGACTGAGGTTCCCCTAATGTTTTCCCGGGTTTGGGTGAGCTTTTGCTTTTTCCATCTCGATGGAAACACACCATCTCTCAGGCATTTATCAAATAATAATACAAACAGCTGCGGCATGATTTTTAATGCAATCTTCAGTGCTTTTATTGGAATATTATCCAGTCCTGGGGCTTTTTTTACCGATTTTGGAACACAATTTTACGATCTCGTCCTCAGTTACTACACCGTAAATGTATTATCTTTATAAGACTATTCCATTTTTTGTTTTCTTATACCCGTAGCGGTTTTGTCCTAACCGCCGGAGTTCTGATAGCAGCCGCCCCTTACATGGGGAAACAGACGCTCACCAGGGAGCCGCACAATATGAGACAGACGCTTCTGGGTTTTCAATCGACTAGAGGACCCACGAAGACGTCACTCTTTTAACTACACATCTCTGGAGGTTACCTCATGTGGGGGATGCTTACTTAATGGCGGTATCTAATAGCCATGTCGCAGAATCGTCTTAAGGCTCCTGTAGCCTTTTTATTGCTCGCCGTCGGGGGCTGCTTATCTATCGCAGCTATCCGCCAACCGCTGACCCCGGTAGTAGCTTTGGCTACTACCACTATTCTCTAGTCTATAGTATAGATTATAGACTAGTCTATAGTCTATATTCTAGTCTATAGTTTAGTTTATAGTCCTCTCTATAATCTAGTTTATAGTCTATTCCAGTCTATAGTCCATCTATAGTACAGCGAAAAATTTGTAATAGTAATTTAAATTTCGATTTTTCAAAATTAATTTTTTTACAGAAAATTTCAGAGGTTATCTTAGATTTTTGCTCATATCTCCGTTATAGACATATTTTGTCGGTTTCAACCAGGGTTTCCGAATTGCCGACGTTTTTTGATTCCCGGGGAATCGGGGAAAAAATATTCACATTCCCCGGAAACCGAGAATTCCCGATAAAACAAAAAAAATTATTTAAAATAATCGATAACGACTGTAATTCGATAACTGTAATTCGATAACGATATTTTAGAGATAACGGTAGTAGAGCTGAGACAATGATAGCCAAGCTTTATTTAAATAAATTAAATAAAATACTTTATTATTTTATTATATTGTACATATGAGTTTGTCTGTATTGAAGTGTCCCGCGAGCAACTTTTTGAAGGAATACCTGTCCATTTTTGTTGTATAAAATGTGTTACAATAAGCATGTTTGAATTTTTATTAATTTTTTAATTCCCGGGATTCCCGACTAAAATTCCCGGGAATCGAAAAGCTAAAAATCACTAAATTTCCCGGGAATTTTTTGCCGACGCTTCCCGAGAACGAAACCCAAGTTTCAATATGGTTAAATCGACTACGCCATCTATAAGGACTCGAAATATATAGGGTCGGAATATTATTTTATAGAAATTATACTTCACGGAGGCGAAGTGTATAAAAATGTGAATTTATTATAGTCTATTGTGTTAACGGTCGTCATTGCCGAGTTTAGCACTGTTGCTGGTTTATTTTAATTTCGAAAATTCAAAATTGCAATAGCACTAAACAACCCATCTCTGAAAAAAGATTCTATTGTGTTCTAGAAAGAACAACTCTGTAAATACTAAGTAGTTGCATTTCAAATACTGAGTACCCGTAAAAATAACCAGAATTGATTACTACCTATTCAAATACTAAATACTTTTACAACTCTATTAAGTAACTACGAACACGTCTCGTTTTTTTCGGAAATTGCTGTCAACTTTTTTCTTTGTTTAATACACTCGGATTATTTTTTTTACAAATAAATCTAGAGTATTTTAATTAAAAGAAACTATTAAATATATTTATATTTCCAACCGTAAAATAAAACATTTAAAAACTAAAGTCAAAAGGAAACAATTCCAGAAAATAGTGATTGTGAAATTGAAGAAGTTGCAAGGAAAAGAACTTTGAGAAAAATGGGCTTAACTATTTCTAGTTTATTAACACGGCTATTTGGCAAAAAACAAATGCGTATTTTAATGGTAGGCTTAGATGCTGCTGGCAAAACTACCATTCTATACAAGCTAAAGTTGGGAGAAGTGGTAACGACTATACCGACAATTGGCTTCAACGTCGAGAGTGTGGAGTACAAAAACATTTGCTTTACAGTATGGGATGTAGGCGGTCAAGATAAAATTCGTCCCTTATGGAGACACTACTTCCAAAATACCCAGGGTCTCATATTTGTTGTCGATTCTAACGATCGTGACCGTATTACTGAGGCGGAAAAGGAGCTGCAAAATATGTTGCAGGAGGATGAACTACGGGATGCTGTACTATTAGTATTCGCCAACAAACAAGATTTACCAAATGCAATGAATGCTGCAGAACTAACTGATAAACTGCGCCTGAATCAATTAAGAAATCGTCACTGGTACATACAAGCAACCTGTGCAACACAAGGAAATGGTTTGTACGAAGGATTAGATTGGTTATCTGCAGAACTTGCTAAAAAATAATAAATCCAAAATTAGATTATATTAAAAGAAAAAAAAACAAAAACACGAAAAAACATAAAGATAAATAAAAAACAATATATTTTTATCGTATACATTTATTATTCAAAAGCGTACACCGAAAAAAATTCACGTTTTATAAGTGAATAAAGGAAAGTGACGTGTAAATTCTTATCACACATAGAAGGTGTAGAAAGATAAACTAAACAATTCCATAATTTTGTTTATTTATAAAAAAAACTACAAAATACTTTTGTATTTTCAATTGCTTATTTACCTATAATTTTAATTCTTTCTTTTAATTTTAAACAATTTAATAAAACTTTAAAAAATTATGATTTTGCTGCTTAAATTTTAAATTGTATTTCGATAAAATATTAAGTAAACAATTTTATATAAAATATAAGTATCAGTATCTTAAATGCAATCTTATGTCTGTTAATAAAGAATTATTTATGATTTATTTAAAAATGATTTAATTGATTTTGCTTATTTTACAAAATAATTAATTATTTATCTTTTACCATAAAATGTTTTACCAAAGATTTCATTACACAAGTAAAATTTCAACTTCTTAAAACTTTAGTCAACTACCGACTGAATTTTTTTCGGTGTATACATATTCAAATATACTTATCAGCGGGGTTTTCTGACCTAAGCTATTTATTGCGGCTTTGATTTATTATAAGCTAGTGTTATTTTCTTACCTACTTCTTCTCAATTTTGTTCTCTCTAGAAGTTCGTTATTAAACAAATTTTCGATAGTTAAAATCTGTTTAACTTTTGCTCTAAACAAAATATTAGATAGATAGATAGATAGATAGATAGATAGATAGATAGATAGATAGATAGATAGATAGATAGATAGATAGATAGATAGATAGATAGATAGATAGATAGATAGATAGATAGATAGATAGATAGATAGATAGATAGATAGATAGATAGATAGATAGATAGATAGATAGATAGATAGATAGATAGATAGATAGATAGATAGATAGATAGATAGATAGATAGATAGATAGATAGATAGATAGATAGATAGATAGATAGGTAGATAGATAGATAGATAGATAGATAGATAGATAGATATATAGATAGATAGGTAAATAGATAGATAGATTGATAGATCGATAGATATGTATATAGGTAAATAGATAGCTAGTCAGCTCATAGATGTAATCGATTTTCAATTGTACTTATAGGTAAGAGATTTCTATTTAATTAAGGAAATTAAGATAATAGAACTTTTGAACGAAAGTTCAGTGGTGCTATATCCTAACTACACCTTATTTTTGTAGTAGGTATGTATCGTTGGAACTGTGTTATGATCTTTGAGGTGTTTTCTTTTTAACAGGTTTTTAAAAAACGATCCTTGCAATATTCAAAAATTTTATAGTAAATAAAACTTAAAGGGCTTTGAAATTATTAAGAAAGTTAGGTTATTGTAAAATGGGTGGGTAACTGGTATAATAATCATAATACACCCTTTTTGCAAATACCCACATACACACAAATATGTTGGTGTTCTGCCTTTTTGTGGAGAATAAGATTGCCAGGTTTTATTTAGGAAAAACATCTAACACAAAGAAAATTAATGATGTTTGGGTTTAGGGAAATTCACACTATTCTGCTTTTTAATTTGAATGTAATTTTAAATGCGGAAATGTAATTATCAGGCAGCTTTAAGTACGGGAAAGCAGTCAAACTCTATATAAAATATCTAAATTATGTTGCTTTTACATTTATTTTATATTTGATAGGAAATTTACACAACTTTTGACCTCAAACTAATTTCATGCCTCAATCATGTATGAATTCGTTTCAATCCATTTAAAAAAAATTAACTTGGCAACTCTAATAATTTGTTTATCAACAAAAGTCAGCTGTTGTTTTTTTTTTTGCAATTGTTTACATCTTTTTCAATATTTGAACAAATTTTCAAACTTTTTTCGCTAAACTTACAAAATATCCAACAAAATGTTTCCTATATCCTTAAAATCATTAAGTGATCAAGAACGTCACGATTACATATTGAAAACGTTTATATTAAACAAAAACTATACAGCCGAAAAACGAAAACATAAACGTGACATCGATGTCATACGTGAACATCATCGTTTTTTATGGGATGAAGACAACGATGCTGCCGCTGAAGATTCCTGGGAAGTGCGTTTAGCTAAACGTTATTATGATAAACTCTTCAAAGAATACTGTATTGCCGATCTCAGTCGTCATAAGGAAAATAAGGTGGCATTACGTTGGCGTACAGAAGCAGAAGTAGTAGCTGGTGTTGGGCAATTCCAGTGCGGCAGTCGTAAATGTTTGGAAAAGGAACATTTACGCAGTTGGGAAGTAAATTTTGCCTATCAGGAACAGGGTGAACGTAAAAATGCTTTAGTTAAATTGCGTCTGTGTCCCGAACATTCAGAACAATTGAATTATACATCCAAGAAACGTGAAGTAAAACGCCTCAAGCATATGGAACGTCAACAGATGAAAGAAGCTAAGCGAGAAAAACGTAAATCTTTGAAAACTAAAAAAAGACATAGAACTGAAAGTGATGGAGATGTTGAAGGAGACGAATTGCAAAGTGAAGAGGAAGTCAATAATGTTATGGAAGAAGTAATGGAAAAACATAATGAGGAATTAGAAGAGTCCACAAGATTGGATAATAGTAAAGGAGAAGAAGAGGAAATGCAGGCGTCCGAAGATGTTTGGAATAAAAAACCGGATATTGAAGTTGAACCTGTTAGTAGAGAATCTGAATTTCAACGTTATTTAGAAGATTTACTATTGTAAATTTAAAAAGTTAGACATAAAGATAAAAAATTGTTAATAATTGATAAACTCAAGATGTAAAGATTTGTATTAAAATTTGATTAAGTTAAAGATACTTTCTACATCTTTGTTGAATATTGTTCAATAGATGGCGCCGATTTATTACTTTTACTTTTTTATTACTTTTTCAATAGAAATTCAATAAAACAAACAGATAACTTAATAGTAGATCGACTTTTTAAAATTTTAAGCTAATGTTAGAAAATTATAAGATGTCTATATTCGATTGATAAAAACATACATACAGTGTCTCACATAAATATTCGAATTTATTATTTTTTATGGATTACTGTGTTATTTTATGATGTTACTTTAAAAATAATAATAGTATTTAAAATTTTTTAATGAAATTTTATTAATTTATATTATTTCTACGAAATACAAAAAAAGTAATAAAAACTCATTAATGGTTTCCAAGAAAATGGAAAAAAACCCAAAAAGGGTCATTTCAGGTACTGCGCAAAAATATTCGAATTTTTTCTAAGAACTTTTTTAGAATCCTTGAACACGTGTTTTATTGCCCATTAATTAACCCATTATGCAGGTAGTGGTTATATGGAATATTTAACATTATATTTTTTGGAAATTTGCATAATTATGTTGTAAATCCTTCCTGTGTAAGCGCTTAAAATGTTCAAAGAAAAAGAGTTGATCAATTCAAATTAAAAAATTAATTTATATCCGTATAATCAAGGCCGATCAATTAAATACATATAGGAAATGGTTGATAGATTCCCATCGACATCATTACACGCATGGAACAAAGAATTCCATCGAGTATTTACCATTATCAAGTCGTCCAAATCTGCTGTCAATACAGGACGACAGAGAAATACTGAGAAAATACCGAAGGAACCTTCATCTATCAGCTCCAAAAATTAACAACGAACTCATAACAGTCCTGTGAATAAAAATGAGTGTCGAAATTGTGCGCAAAGTACTAGGGAGCAATAATTTGCATGGTCAAGTACCAAGGTGGAAACCGCTCATATCGAAGTTAATCGATGTTAAGTGTCTTGACTCCGCAAATAGACTCATAAGTAAGAATATTGGATTCTGGAAGGAAGTTATCTTCGACGATTAGAATAAATATAATATTTTTGGCTCAGATGGTCGTCAAATGATATGGCGAAAGCTTGGAGATGCCTTGGAATTATCTAACTTAAAACCAACTGTAAAGGACCCAAGTTGCTCTGCCATATTTTGGGGTTCTGTGTCTGTCCACGGTGTTGGACTGCTAAAATTTATTATTGTAATTATAGACTAGAAGGTCCACTTGTCAATTTTAGAGCAGAATTTGCATGCTAGTACCACCAAAATGGGGCTACAACCCATTCAATTTATTTTTCAACAGAAAAACGATCCAAAATACACGACCTGGTACGTGAAAATGTTGATCATTTACAACACTAAGTATCTTCTTTCACCAAATTTTCAATGGAGTTAATGTCTGGACTTAAACTCCATTGAAAATTTGTGGTTATATTTACAAGAACAACTTTTAAATCACTCATTATCCTCTAAAACCACCATACGGTTGCTTTGCATGAAGAATGGGACATAATAACGCCAGAACTATTTCATAAATTGGTAGAAACGGTCCCACGACGCTTGGAAGTTGTTTTTAAAAACAAAGGCTACTATACAAAACTTTAATTTCATTTTAATTATTTATTTTTACTTCATAATGCTAATCTAAATATGATTTATACAAAAAATTCGAATAATTTTGTGAAGCTATTTTTTGCACTTTTTTTAAAAAAAGTTAAATTAGTTTAAGTAAATTATTTTTTTTTTTAATTTTTAAAATGTGGTATAAAATTTAAGGACTGTCAGGACAACATAATAAATTTATTTATTTTTCCCACAAAATCTATTATAAAATGATGTCTGTTTTCATAATACATTAAATTCGAATACTTATGAGAGACACTGTATGTACATACATATTACTTGTTTTTTTTTTTTCTTTTTGAAAAAAATAAAAAATACACAACATAGCGGTTGATTTTGAATATTTTTTTTTATTAAAATAATGCTGAAAAATTATTTATTTTATAATTTAAGTTGAAACTTAAGATAAATATATATTAAAATAATTTAATATTACTTTTTAAATTTGTTCTTTAAATCTTTCTTATTTTTATATCACTTACATTAATATGGTATTTAAATAAAATGCAAAAAATTAGAAAAATTAGAAAATAATATAAACAATTTCTTGATGAAAGTGGTGTAGCAAATGTTAATAAAGTTAGATGGTGTATGTAGTTTGCACATAAATAAGTCTATATGTATATATTTTTAGTTTATTAAATAAAGGCCCTTCTTTTGAATAAACAAATTTTTATTTTATAAACGATTTATAAATTAGATTTTGTATAGAAATTTAGTTTTATAAACCTTTTATAAAATAAAATGTTGTTTGTAATAATAGGGATAAGTGTTTAATAGCTAGTGCCCGATTGAACTCACATTTGCTGGGTCACAGTCAAAATTGAACTCTATCTAGTTCCGTTTTCCCAAGACGTATTAATTTACAGGATAAGTCAATAGAACAGTCTGTAGTTTGGACTATAGAACAGTCTGTAGTCTGGACTATAGAACAGTCTATAGTTTGGACTATAGAACAGTCTATAGTTTGGACTATAGAACAGTCTATAGTCTGGACTATAGAACAGTCTATAGTCTGGACTATAGAACAGTCTATAGTCTGGACTATAGAACAGTCTATAGTCTGGACTATAGAACAGTCTATAGTCTGGACTATAGAACAGTCTATAGTCTGGACTATAGAACAGTCTATAGTCTGGAGTATAGAACAGTCTATAGTTTGGACTATAGAACAGTCTATAGTCTGGACTATAGAACAGTCTATAGTCTGGACTAAAGAACAGTCTATCGTTTGGACTATATAACAGTCTATAGTTCATGTTCATGTTGTTTTTGTTGTAAAATTGGGACTACCTGTAAATCATTATGTCATTCGTTTTTCGTTCCATGTCGAAAATAACAAAAAATTAATTTTCCTTCTTCGACCTGACGAGAATATGTTTCAAACTTTTCAGTTTCTCTGAAACATTCTAAAGTCAACTACAGCATTCTTTCGCCAATGATTTTTATAAGCAGATTTTCGAATTACATTTCTTTCGACTAACAAGTCCTGTAGATAGTAAATATTCGCAACTCTTCTGAATTTCATTTATTCTCTGTGCAAAACATTAACAAAATTGTTTTGTTTTTTGTAAAAAAAATAATTTGTTAATATATTTGTTAGAGTAGAAGCTCAGAAGCCAATTGTTTTTTCGTTCGGACACTAGCCAATAATACCTAAACTTCTTCGATGCAATGCAAATTATCAACACCACTGCCACCACCACTACCACTTCGATTCGATAAGACACGATCACCACTACTACTACTGCAGCTATCACTACTATTTTGTCTTTTATTTTTCGTATCGTATTTTAAGAAAATATCTTCCAAAGTCGTTTCATTTACCGAATATTCTTCAACTACACCTTCTGTGGAATTTAGGAATGTTTCACATTTTGAAAATACCTCTGACCATTGTATGATATCGAATGATTTAATGAAATAAGTTAAAATGCCAGCATGATTTTCACGTAATTTAGAATGGATAAAGAAATGTTGTAATTTTTTGGTTACATAGTCAACATCATCTGGTGTTGCCTCGCAACTATGTAACTTAATACTAATGGTAAAACCTGAACCGTACAGCTGTTTAAGTTCAGGAACATAACCCAAACATTTGAATTGTCCCTCGGCCATGATGGCTAAGCGATTGCATAAATGTTCACATTCATCCATGCTGAAATAGAATAATTATTTGAAGAAAACTTATTTAAAAAAGAAACTTTTTTAAAATATATATTAAAAAAATGTACCATTATAAAACAAAAAGTAAATTTAATATTGATTTAAAAAGGCTCAACTTACCTATGAGATGTAAGTACTAAAGTTTTGCAACGTTTTTGAAAATCTTGCATTGATTGCCACAGAAAACGTCTGGATATGGGATCCACACCCGTTGTGGGTTCATCTAACAACACCAGCGAAGGACTGCCAATCTAAATACAAAGAAGAAACTTACTTTTAACTGAAGCCCTATTCAAAAACCTCTTAAAACCTTACCATAGCAGCTGCTGTTTGTAATTTACGTTTCGTACCACCCGAATAATGTTTAACCTGTACATGTTTATATTTATCCAAATCTAATTTATCCAGCCAATACATTACTTCATCGTTTACATCTTTAAATGGTATGCCACGCAATAAAGCCATATAACGTAACGTTTGATATGCAGTCATAAAATCATTTAGACAATCATTTTGTGGACAATAGCCAAAACGATAACGATACTCTGGTTCGTTGATCAACAAGTCAATACCATCGATTTTGATGGTACCCTTGCTAAGGGTTTGATTTGCAGCAATCATTTCGAATGTTGTTGTTTTACCGGCACCATTAACGCCCAACAAACCGAAACACTCTTTTTTGCGTACGACAAAATTTAAATCATGCACAGCTATCTTACGTTGGAATTGTTTGTGGAGATTGTGTACGATGAGTGGAAATTCATTTTCACCATTATCTGGAAAATGAAATTTAATTTTTAATATAAAAATTTCCATTTCCAAAGCAGTCTGGACTATAGAACAGTCTATAGTCTGGCCTATAGAACAGTCTATAGTATGTCCTATAGAACAGTCTATAGTCTGGCCTATAGAACAGTCTATAGTCTGGACTATAGAACAGTCTATAGTCTAGCCTACAGAACAGTCTATAGTCTGGACTATAGAACAGTCTATAGTCTGGCTTATAGAACAGTCTATAGTCTGGCTTATAGAACAGTATATAGTCTGGTCTATAAAACAGTATATAGTCTGGCCTATAGAACAGTATATAGTCTGGCCTATAGAACAGTCTATAGTCTGGCCTATAGAACAGTCTATAGTCTGGCCTATAGAACAGTCTATAGTCTGGCCTATAGAACAGTCTATAGTCTGGCCTATAGAACAGTCTATAGTCTGGCCTATAGAACAGTCTATAGTCTGGCCTATAGAACAGTCTATAGTCTGGCCTATAGAACAGTCTATAGTCTGGCCTATAGAACAGTCTATAGTCTGGCCTATAGAACAGTCTATAGTCTGGCCTATAGAACAGTCTATAGTCTGGCCTATAGAACAGTCTATAGTCTAGCCTATAGAACAGTCTATAGTCTGGCCTATAGAACAGTCTATAGTCTAGCCTATAGAACAGTCTATAGTCTGGCCTATAGAACAGTCTATAGTCTGGCCTATAGAACAGTCTATAGTCTAGCCTATAGAACAGTCTATAGTCTGGCCTATAGAACAGTCTATAGTCTAGCCTATAGAACAGTATATAGTCAGGCCTATAGAACAGTATATAGTCTGGCCTATAGAACAGTATATAGTCTGGCCTATAGAACAGTCTATAGTCTGGACTATAGAACAGTCTATAATCAGGACTATAGAACAGCCTATAATCTGGACTATAGAACAGTCTACAATCTGGACTATAGAACAGTCTATAGTCTGGCCTATAGAACAGTCTATAGTCTGGCCTATAGAACAGTATATAGTCTGGTCTATAGAACAGTCTATAGTCTGGACTATAGAACAGTATATAGTCTGGCCTATAGAACAGTCTATAATAGTCTGGCCTATAGAACAGTCTATAGTCTGGCCTATAGAACAGTCTATAGTCTGGCCTATAGAACAGTCTATAGTCTGGCCTATAGAACAGTCTATAGTCTGGCCTATAGAACAGTCTATAGTCTGGCCTATAGAACAGTCTATAGTCTGGCCTATAGAACAGTCTATAGTCTGGCCTATAGAACAGTTTATAGTCTGGCCTATAGAACAGTCTACAGTCTGGCCTATAGAACAGTCTATAGTCTGGCCTATAGAACAGTCTATAGTCTGGCCTATAGAACAGTCTATAGTCTGGCCTATAGAACAGTCTATAGTCTGGTCTATAGAACAGTCTATAGTCTGGCCTATAGAACAGTCTATAGTCTGGCCTATAGAACAGTCTATAGTCTGGCCTATAGAACAGTCTATAGTCTGGACTATAGAAAAGTCTATAGTCTGGCCTATAGAACAGTCTATGGTCTGGACTATGGAACAGTCTATAGTCTGGCCTATAGAACAGTCTATGGTCTGGACTATAGAACAGTATATAGTCTGGCCTATAAAACAGTATATAGTCTGGCCTATAGAACAGTATATAGTCTGGCCTATAGAACAGTCTATAGTCTGGACTATAGAACAGTCTATAATCAGGACTATAGAACAGCCTATAATCTGGACTATAGAACAGTCTACAATCTGGACTATAGAACAGTCTATAATCTGGACTATAGAACAGTCTATAATCTGAACTAAAGAACAGTCTATAGTCTGGACTATAGAACAGTCTATAATCTGGACTAAAGAACAGTCTATAATCTGGACTATAGACTTTATTTATATAGTTACCTTTAATAATTTTTTCCACACTAGATTTTTCTTCTTGTATAAATCTATCTTCTTCATTACTAATGGGGCATTGTTCAGATTTGCCTTTTGATTTGCAGATCTTAAAAGAATTGCCAAATATTTGACGACGTTTTTTATTCTCCACAACATAAAGAAATATAAACTGAAAATTAAAATTAATTAAGATAAAACATTATAGAATTCAATCAATAAACTCACCATTATGGTAGGAAATACTAGAGCGACATAAAAATAAAAACTGTGCAAATTTAAAACTTGTTTACTATTCAATTCTTGACGTATATGATCGGGTAAATGATCAGCATGATTATTGACAAAACGTTCATTAATTATACGCAACTGTTGGCACAAATTGAAATCGGGTAGTAAACGTAAAAATGTAATATAATTTTGAAATTTCATCATATCAGCCAGTGAAAAGGAGACTATAAAAGGTGGTATAACTGCAAGGAAAATGTATACAAATGTTATAAACTGATAAGAAGTATTAATTCAAAAACTCAAACTTACATGATATATAAAATAATACCACCAAACAGGTGGATAATGCTGATAGTGTTGTCACCATATTGGCAAAACAGTAGATTATGGGCAAATATGTTAAACCATAAAAGAAAATGGATATGGTTACATTACTGATATCTGACAAATCATATAATTCTTTGGGCATTATAACTGTTTGATAACCATTAAAAGCTAAGCATATTAACAGTAATAACAATAGATCACATATTAATATACTGCCCCAATAAATATAGGGTGACATAGTTTGTAAACGTTTAAAACCACTGCGATTTTCCTTGAAAGGCAGCATAGCAAAGTAAAACATCAACATAAACATGCCTATAGTAGATAACAAAGAAAAAAAAAACATGTTAATGTTCATGAACAGCAATTTTTGTAATTATTTTTTATATTTACCAAAAGGTATTAGGGTGGCGAAGTATGTTAACTTTAAAGAACCCGCAGAATCGTCACGCCTATTATTTGTAAGAAAAAATAATAAAATTTAATTCTATTAGTTGTTCTTATTCTACTTACACTGCTAATGGTGCATATATGGTTTCTAATAAACGTTCTTTAGTATTTGCTGTCCACATGTAAATAGCATTATCAATTAAATTGGCCAAAATTGCCGAACTATGCATCATATTCTCTGAATATAGTATGTTAACAGTTGGTCGATTCTCCCCAGAGATTAGTAGAGTACCCAAAACATTTTGTTGGAAATTATAAAAATCATTTTTCATAATTTCAATTAGTTCTGTAAAGGAATATAAAGAGAAAAAACAATAAATCAATATTAAACAGTTGTGGGGGAGGGATAAGATAATACTTTTTAATTAAGTTGATGTTTAAGAACAGGAGTTACTTAAATATTAACAATGAAAGCCAAGAATAAAGATTTCTATTAATTTATTTCTAGCTTATAAATGGAATCTCATCACACGAGATCAATATCATTTAAGGGATTGTTGTTGCTATTTTAGCAGCGAATACAATCAAATTTTTAAATAACTATGGTTCTGCGATGTTGGCATCAAGGTTAAGAAGTTGTGCAAACTCAACAGGATGTGTCCACAGGTCTTTAGGACTGAGTGAGGTATGATTGGTTTTGCAATCAAAAAGGTAAAATTTGTCATGTGGACCTTTACTACAGGCTGGACATATTGTTGAGGATAGTGCCGTCTATACAAGACCAATAGACATTAAGTCTATTGCTCCATCCAGATCCCAGTTGTGTCAAAAGTGCTCTTGTTTTAGGTGGCAATATGTTCTTCTTCTACTGCTCTATGATTACCGTTGAGTGCTGTCATATAGGATGCGTTATCAGACAGATCATGTATATAACGCTGTATGCAGTTGTCGTACATTCGAAGATCTTTTCTGACATGACTCGGGAAGACTCCAACTGCTCTATATTGTAGTTAGGGTGATTCGTCCCATGTCATCTCAGAGGAACTCTTTGGAAATCATAGTGTTGGTTTCCTTGACCAGTAAAATCTTCGTTTCTTCCTGAAGATGGTATTCTGAGGATATCTTTTAGTACCGTGTTCCTACATCTCAATTTGTGCGAGATTGCAGTGTCATAAGCGGAGGCAGTGAACCATGTGAAGGTTCAGGAAGTTTAGAAATTTAACAGGAAGATCTCTTAATAGATCCAATGCCACAAGGACCGTTGTCATATAGGGTTTTTGTTGGTTTAATCCTTGTTAAATTTGAGTGGTGATGGCAGTTAATGATGTTGTGCTAATATGCATTATCCGCAAACATTAATTAAGGATTAATTAAGGGATACCACAAGGCTCCGTTCTTTCCCCTTCTTTGTCGCACTTCCAACACTTTCTACACCTTCGCCTATGACAGCAGCTTCTGCCATTTATTTTCATTGAACTATAGACCAGTTATTAATGAGCTATTCCCACGACAATTGGACGAAGAAAATAAGCAAATAACATTCATACGATAATCGGGTATTCGATCCGGGACGATCCGATTTCTAAGGTGAACAAAATCCATTTATTTACAGTGAAAATCGAGCAAAATCCAGATAACTCAACTTGTTCGCCACACAAAAGCACCTGTCCATCCCAATGAATGTCCTCTATATGCCAAAATGTAATACGGAGAAATGTTAAATCCTTACAGTGGTATTGTTGTGGAAACTGAGTAGTACAGGAACTGAATAACTCTATAGCAACAGTGCCCACTACAGTCTTACACTCTTCCAAATTCAACAACATTAACATCACTGTTAACAAACATCTTACCGCCACTATCGTCAAAGAACCGCTACCAAGAATTATGGCACATTTATGATTCCCATCTGTCACTCCAAATCATGCAGCTAAATTGAAAACGACATCATAGAGCATATCAGTGATTGTTTACTCTAATCTTTTGGAATTAGCTGCAGATTTACTGCAAAATACTCAAGCTTTTCCTTCGCGACGGGTAGTCATCTTGACGCGATGCGAAGGCTTATGTGTGATGACCCATGCAGGCCGTGCTGGTAGGGCTACCCATGCCAGAGGGGCTCATGACGAGCACATACTAAGAACTACCCTTCCCACGACTGGTAGCGTCTGTTTCTCCCCGATGGGGCGGCTACCAGTCCAAGTACTTGTCAAAAGATCTCTACTCATCCTTCGGATGTGTATCTTTTGACAGTACAGTCCGTTCGGGATCTTTAGATCCCAAAACTCCACGACGGTCCGTCTAAATCCACCAGCGTCTGTTCCCACATTGGGCGGCTTGGTGGTCTGCAAGCACATCATATGCAGAATCATATACTTGGCAGCAAGTATAAAATGCACACCGTTCTAATATCCAATGTCCGACAAGAAACCGTGCCCCGCGTATCCGGTAAGGGGCCTAATAATCTCCGGAGACCCTACCCCCACGGCGAAGGCGACAGGCTGTGGAGAGTCGAGTGCTACTGCCACCCAGGTTAGTCCGGCGGAGACACCGGGTCGGGCTAGTCTGAATGCTACCGGCGCCAAACCCAAAGCAAAAGCGTCTGCGGATTTAGGGAAGCCTGGATCCTGCAGTCGCAAAACAATAACAGCATCTGGCTCCAAAGCTGGATGCAGCAAAATAAGCAGCGAGGCACCTCTGGACGTCACCCCAAGTACCTCAAAGGCAGCTCAGGTCCGTATTGGCAAAATGCCGATAAAACCCCGTTTCGGGGACTACTAAGGCCACCAAAACCAAGGTAGCAACCCCAGTGCCGATTATGCACGAGGGAACTGCGAACAAGATTTCGGGTTCTCAAACGGCATCTCCCAATGCCAGCACGGCGAATAGTAAGACCCCCAGGCACGTAACACCAGCAAGAAGGGCCTTCCTACAACGGCGCTCCGCCGCCAAAATTCTAGCGCGCTTAGCTGGCAAGCCAGTTGAGTCGCTAAGTAAAGAGGACAAGTCCTCTCTAGAATGGGCTAAGGGAAAATTGGCCGTTCTGGAGAAGAGTCCCCCCTCACGTCTAAGGACGCGCCTAAACGGCAACGTTCTGAGGAGGAGACTAATCTTCAGGGCCAGCAGCCCGGGACAAAACGTCCGAAACCGTTGCCCCCCAAGCCGCATGACAGGACCTCCGGTGAAGTGGTTGAGAACCAATTCACGCGTGCTGTCATCGACAGGGGTGACGTAGATGGCGCTATGTCTCCATCCAGATGGGACATAGTGCGAAAAAAGCTGATGGGGGTGTTCTGGGAAGTTCTTAAACAGAACCCTGGTCCCCCCCCACAGTGTGAGGACGGCGGTTGGTTTCACAACAGAGTGAAGCTAATGGCCTGTTCCAACGAGCGCTCAGCTTTGCTCCTGAAGCAGGCTGTGTCGCTGATAAAGGATCCGTGGGAAGGTGCTAAGCTGGAAGTGGTCTCTGTGGACGAGATCCCACGAAGGCCTAGATCCACCGCCATAATTCCTGCGGAACCACATAAAAAGGCAGCGATACTGGAGCTTCTACAGGTTGGCAATCCGGATCTTCCAACTCAAGATTGGAAGGTCGTCAGGGTTTCTCAACCTGTAGGAAGCTCCAGAAGGATTGTTGTGATCCTGAACCAGGAGTCTTTGGCGCCGCTTCGCGAGAAACAAGGGAAGGTCTACTACGGCTTCGAGTCGATCTTCCTTCGTGTCTACCGAGGCGATGACAAGGAACTATTGGAACAGGATGATCCCGATCCTGACCAATCCGCTGCGGATATGTCTTGCGACGAGACTGACCTTTCGCTGAGTCAATCAACTTCTAAGTTGGTTAAGGAGGGGGAAGAGTCAGTTGACGAGGACGATCTCCTTGCCTCTGACAAGGAGGACGCCAACGTCACAGTGTTGCGTAAAGACAAAAAAGGTGAGATGGTGAGAGTAACCCAAATTAATCTCCACCACTCCAAAGCAGCCTCGGCTGCACTGCTCCTCCGAATGGGTGTAAGTGGGGAGGAGCTCGCCCTAGTCCAGGAACCCTGGATTCACCAAGAAAGGGTGAGTGGAATAGGCATGAAAAGCTTTAAGCTATTGTACGCAAAAGGATCTGGTAAGATTCGATCCTGTATAGTAGCCAAAAGCAGTCTCAACATCTTCATTCTTTCTGATTTCAGTGATGAAGACACCGTAGCAGCCATATGGGAGACCAGTGTAGGTGCTATATTGGTTATCTCGGCGTACATGGCTCACGACCACAGCGACCAGCCACCGAACAACCTGGTCTGCAGATCCATAGAGATGGCAAACTCGAAAAGCATGCCGATCATCATGGGGGCTGATGCCAATGCCCATCACACTGTCTGGGGAAGCTCGGACATAAACGCTAGAGGTGAGTCAATCTTTAACTTCATTCTAAGCAATAATCTTGATATTTTAAATACAGGATCCGAACCGACCTTTATTGTTTCAAACAGAAGGGAAGTTCTTGACATTACGCTGGTTAGTTCTATGCATCATGATAGGATAAGGGGATGGAGAGTCTCAAGTGACTGCTCTTTCTCTGACCATCAGTACATCGATTTTGAAATCGTAGTTGACAAAGTGGCCCCAAAGCCCTTTATAAACAGGAGACGAACAGATTGGGAAATGCAAATGGGGCTAATCTCACGTTCACTCCAGGATGTACCGATCATCGAAAACCGATCGGACATAGAAAACGCGGTTGAAACCATAAATCAAGCTTTCAAACACGCGACTTCACTGTCTTGTAAACAGAATATGCACAAAGGCAGATGCAGGCCTCCATGGTGGTCTGCGGACATTGCGAAATCTCGAAAAGAGACGCGCAGACTGTTTAACGAGGCAAAGAAAACAGGAAACTGGATTTCTTACAAGACCTCGGTAAATCGTTTCAAGAACCTGGTAAGAAATGCAAAGCGCAAATCTTGGAAAACCTTCTGTAGCGGCGTGGAAGGTTCTTCTGAGACCAGTCGTCTGCGCAAAATCTTATCATCTACTCCTCCTGTCCCAAGTTTCATTCAGAAACCTTGTGGCAGTTGGACGACCAGCAGCCAAGAAACCTTAGAAGTTTTAATGGCCACTCACTTTCCAGGCTGTCAATCTCCGGTAAACGGGACTGACATGCAGTTTACAGATCTCCCAGCTGATACAGGAATATCAATAAATGAAGATAAAATCAACTGGGCGATAAACAGCTTCGACCCCTACAAATCACCGGGTCCTGACGGTATAATACCTGCGGATTTGCAATACAATGCTGTCCATCTTATGCCTTGGCTAACGCGGATATATGATGCCTGTTTAAAATGGTCTTATATACCCGAACCCTGGACCAAGTGCACAGTGGTCTTCATTCCGAAAGGAGGAAAGACCTCTCACACGAAGCCAAAGGATTTTAGACCAATTAGTCTATCCTCCTTTCTTCTCAAAACTTTGGAAAGGATAATTGATCTGCATCTCAGAATACATATCAAACCTGACCATTTATCAGCATCTCAACATGCCTACATGAAGGGAAAATCTGTTGAGACTGCATTACATTCGCTAGTTTGTCACATTGAAAAGACAATAGCGCAAGGGGAATATACACTGGTTGCCTTCTTGGACATCGAGGGGGCTTTCAACAATGTTCACCCTGGGTCGATAACAACGGCCCTAACTGGTCTGGGTATAAACCAACCAATAACAGCTTTCATCAAGAGATTACTGACTCAACGAATCATTATCTCCGAAATGGGAGCAGCAAATGTCACAAAAGTGGCAAATCGCGGTACCCCACAAGGTGGAGTTCTATCTCCACTTCTGTGGAACCTAGCGTTGAACCCACTTCTTATGGATCTTAGATCTATGGGATTTAAGGTAATAGCATATGCAGACGATGTGTCTGTAGTAGTATCTGGCAAATATCTGGATACTTTATCGCAAAGGATGGAGATTGCACTCAAGACACTCAGTACGTGGAGCAACGTCAGTGGCCTTGGTGTTAATCCATCGAAAACGGAACTTGTTCTCTTCACTAAGAAGTACAAGATACCCACCTTCACTCTCCCACGACTTTTGATAGAAGCTTTTCGGTGAATATCCGAGACGACCCAAATGTGATGGAAACAATCCTCCATGACGGATCGTATAAGGTTTTCACTGATGGCTCAAAATCAAACCATGGTGTAGGCGGTGGCTTTTACATAGCACATTCGGGAACGGAAGTATCATTCAAGCTTCCTGACCAATGTAGCGTCCTTCAGGCTGAACTATCAGCCATTAAACGGGCTGCAAACTGGCTCAGGTTTTATCGAATATACGGTGTTAATATTCGAATTTATACCGACAGCCAGGCAGCCCTTAAGGTTTTAAGTGGTGTCTACACGACGTCAAACTTAGTCCTAGAATGCCGGGCATCCCTTAACGAGATGGCGAAACATTCCACAATAGGACTGTATTGGATTCCAGGACATCAGCAAATTCCTGGTAATACCATCGCTGACTCTCTTGCCAAGTTAGGCTCCTCGCTTGCAGGAGAGCATACCGACCCTTTTGTCGGTATACCGCTTTCAATCTGCAAACGCTCGATACGTGAAAAACTATATGAGCTTGCGCAATGCAGATGGTCGACTGAAGCCACCTGTAGACAGGCAAGGATCATGTGGCCATCTTACGACCCACAAAGATCCCAAGCCCTTTTCTACATTCCGAGAGTTAACCTACGGAACTTAACGGCAGTGGTAACTGGCCACTGGCCTTTCGGACTCCATGCAAGAAGACTGAACTTACCCAGTAACGACTTCTGCAGGAGCTGCCAGGATGAAGAGGAAGAAGAGAGTATAACTCACTTCCTCTGTCATTGTCCTGCCCTAGCTGATCACAGAATGGGTCTGCTAGGTAGCTATTTTCTGCATGACTTAGCGGATCTATCGGAGGTTGATATCCGAAAGATAGATTCCTATATTCGTGCGACAAACTGGTTCGGTGGAAACCAGAGTGATTAGGTTGAAGTGTACTAATACGCCGACCGTTCTCTCTCGTTTCAGGTATCACAAAGGGATCAAAATTCTGGACCCAAGTGTGTCCCCAGTGATGACATCGCGAGGACGACCTGCCTACCTAACCTAACCTACTCAAGCTTTTCAGACATTTCCATTGTCTGACCGTCACTGCATGCCCAAACCACCAACCAAACCCAAACCCATTTTAGTCATTGTAGAGAAGTTAGACGTCTTCGAGGAGCCCGTTCATCGGGCAAGTTTTTAAGTTTGCAAATTCATTACAACATCGCTACAACATACGGTTTGCGGAACTCATAACTCTTTCAAGAGCCATTCGCAGAACCAAGAGTTATTGGAGTAAATACTATAATAAATACTAAATACTATAATAATAAATATATAATAATAAAGTGTTTAAGGTGCTTCCAAAATATTTTAACCATATGATAACCTACCCCAGTGAGTATCTTAAAAATGTGGATTATTTTTAATATTTAAGATGTTTTTTACCTTGATTCCTTGATTTCTGAAAGATGGGTTTATATGTGGGCTAGGGTAAATATGGGCCAAACGAAACAAAACACTTAAAACAAAATACGAAAAGCAATGAAACCGAAAACAAAACAAATCCAAACATACGTTTTTTTCCTATAAACCATGTTGTTTTTGCTGTTCTGTTCAAGCATGCAACAAATTGTCTTTTCCGATGAAATTTTCAGAGGTTGTATAAGATTTTGGCTCATATCTCCGTTATTTATGGACATATTTTGCTGAATTTAAGTATGAAACTTCTCGAAAGCATGTCTGACAGTATTATTGAAGATTCGGATCCCGAAGATGTCTGGGGTCTTCAGTAAATTGATTTCAACAGAAATTACAAACGGAATGACAAACTTATATATACTCTTCTCACGAAGGTGAAGAGTATACAAATTACGACATACTCCTCCGATACAACATCGATTGTGAAGTGGACAATAGAGAAAGTTGGATGTAGAGATTATAAAGCTCACACTTAATTAGACGTATTCATAAATACAATTAATCGTTCTTATTGAACATTAGATAGATCAGTAAAGATCGTCAACTATATATGCTGATAATGAATAGTTTCTGAAACTGGAAAATTCAGAAACCAATGACTAAGACCTAGAAGATAGACTGTTTTTTATGCATCAATATTAGGTCATAAGGATCGTGTGATCGACAATTGAATGGGTAATGGACATAGACAATTTTTGTTGAGGAATCGTATTCTTTATCGCATACATTTAAACTGGAAGGACAATGCATTGAATCTAAAGAAGATTTTAGTTCAAAATTCTTCAATAAAGATGTCACCGTCAACTCCACTCATTGTATTCATCCTTTGATCCATCTGTACAGTCATGAAAACAATTAACAGCAGAGAGAAGAGATTCAAAACTTTTTAAAGATACCAGAAATTTCGTATAAAATATAGTTTCGTATTTCAATAATGTGCATATAAAGTTCGGGAGTTGAAGTGCTATTTTTCATAATATAACTTACCTGTGCATACTTACCTAAAGAGCTAGGCATTCAATATGCTATAGGTGCATTGCGAACGTCACAAGATCGCTTTGAATAAAACCATAATATGTGTCTGTCTGGCAATACCCTAATGTTTATAAATTAAACATAAAAATATTTGTAAAAAAAACTTAAATGTGCACATAAAAAACCCTTAACCTAAAAAAAAACTTAAAATGCTTACCTAGAGTATTTGTATTATTGTATTTATCAACTTACCCGATTAATTATATATCGTTAAACCCTTTTAAATGTATGTCTATGGCTATACAAATATATATATATACGTATTTCATATTTACTTACCTTCTTCGATGTCTGTAGAATTGAAACCCAGTGACAATTTTTCAACTTTAAAACCGGGATAACTTTCAATTTGTTGTTTTACAATTTGTGAAAAACGCAAAACATTTGCCGAAGAGTCATCGGCTACATTCATGTAAATAATGCCATTCTTATAATGATTCAAAGTTAATTGAAGTCCACTGCCAAGTTTCATAATAGTCGAGAAATGTATGGTCAAGATAGCAATGGTAGTCATAATAAAAGGTATAGAAATCTATAAAGAAATTATGTTAATAGCAATATAACATGTAAATTATATAGAAATCCAAAGAATGGGAATATTTTAGCTAAATCTCTTTTAATTCTCTTTTTACTTACCAAAAATATTGTCAAAAACCATTCATTTTTCATAAATAAAAGTTTTTTATAGGCTATGGCCAGAAATTGTTGATAAACATCAATATTTTTCAATTCATCCAAACGTTGATACGGTACTCTTATGCTGGTATCAGCATGACAATTAACAGCACCATCGACTTCATCATGTGGTGGTTCCACTTTCGGTACAGAACTAAAAACCGAAATCATATTACTAAATATATAACAATTTATTGTCATGTTTTATAACTTACTTTAGAAATACATCTTCCAAAGTGGTATCGGTAACCGAGACTGTATTTATACCCAATTGTATATGTTGTCTTTCCAAGATGGCCAATATTTTTGTATAGTTTTCTCTATAGTCATAGGGCAAACTTATGTTAACAGTTGGTGGCACAACATTCTAAGAAATTCATCCCTTTTAATAAAAGTTTTTTATTTGTTTAAATCTATTCATTTTACCAGAACTCTTGCCGAGGGTACATGCTCTCTTATCAACTCTAAGCATTCTTCTATATTAAATTGACTGGGATTAGTACATAGCTTAAGTATGTAACCACTACCAATTTTATGTTTTAATTCTAAAGGTGATCCAGTCAATTGTAAACGTCCATTCGATAGTATACTTATGGTATCGCCTAATACTTCAGCTTCTTCCATGTGATGAGTGGTAATCAAAATGGCTTTTGTTTTACGCAATTCCAAAAGTATATCCCATAGTTCACGACGTGATTCAATGTCTAAGCCAGAGGAAGGTTCGTCCAAAATAACAATTCTATATAAAAGAATAGGTTGACAATTTAAAATATCAAATTAATATTTGAATACTAACTTTGTTTCTCCTGCTATGGCTATGCCCAAAGATAAGCGACGTTTCATACCGCCCGATAAATTTTTACCATATTCATTGGCTTTATCTGTTAAATTTAATTGTTGCAATAACTTATTGGCCAAAGTATTGGCTTCCTGGTGCGTCAAACCTCTTAACTAAAGAAAAAATATTGCAAATGGGATTATAGATAAAAATAAAATTAAAAGTAGAATGAAATTGTCTGAAGAGGAAAAAAAATACTGTAGAAAATTGTCTAAAGAAGAAACATTTCTATAGAAAATTATCCAAAGAAGACTCTTTTCTGTAAAAAAAATTGTATTAAGACACTTTTGTATAAAAAATGTTCTAAAAAGGCTGTTCTATAGAAAATGTTCTAAAGAGGACACTTTTCAATAGGAAATGTTCTAAAGATCACACATTTTCATAGAAAATGTTCTAAAGAAGACACTTTTCAATAGAATATGTTCTAAAGAGGATTCTTTTCTAAAGAAAATATTGTAAAGAGAACAGTTTTCTATAGAAAGTGTTCTAAAGAGAACACTTTTCTATAGAAAATGTTCTAAAGAGAACATTTTCTATAGAAAATGTTCTAAAGAGAACACTTTTCTATAGAAAATGTTCTAAAGAGCAAACTTTTTTATAGAAAATGTTCTAAAGATAATACTTTTCTATAGAGTATTTTCTATAGAAAATGTTCTAAAGAGGATACTTTTCTATAGAAAATATTCTAAAGTGAACAGTTTTCTATAGAAATTCTAAAGAGAACACTTTTCTATAGAAAATGTTCTAAAGAAAACACTTTTCTGTAGAATATGTTCTAAAGAAAACACTATAGAAAATGTTCTAAAGAGAACACTTTTCTATAGAGTATTTTCTATAGAAAATGTTCTAAAGAGGACACTTTTCTATAGAATATGTTCTAAAGAGGATAATTTTCTATAGAAAATATTCTACAGTGAACAGTTTTCTATAGAAAATGTTTTAAAGAAAACACTTTTCTATAGAAAATGGTCTAAAGAGAACACTTTTCTATAGAAAATGTTCTAAAGAGCACACTTTTCTATAGAAAATGTTCTAAAGAGGACAATTTTCTATAGAAAATATTCTAAAGAGAACATTTTTCTATAGAAAATATTCTAAAGAAAAGACTTTTCCATAGAAAATGTTCTAAAGAGGACACTTTTCTATAGAAAATGTTCTAAAGAGATTACTTTTCTATAGAAAATGTTCTAAAGTGGACACTTTTCTATAGAATATGTTCTAAAGAGAACACTTTTCTATAGAAAATGTTCTAAAGAGCAAACTTTTTTATAGAAAATGTTCTAAAGAAAACACTTTTCTATACAAAATATTCTGAAGAGGACACTTTTCTATAGAAAATGTCTAAAAAATACTTTTAAAATTAAATAAAGACACTTTTATAGAAAATTTACTAAATAGGTCTGTTTTCTATAGAAAATGTCTAAAGAAGACTTTTCTATAGAAAATTCTCTAAGGAAGAAATTATTATATTGAAATCTGCTTAATAAAAACATTCTTCTATTAAAAAAATACTCTAAAAAAGACACTTTCCGATTGAAAATGTCTAAAAAATACACTTTTCTATAGAAAGAATACACATTTCTGTAGAAAACTGTCTTATGTAGACAATTTTCTATAGAAAATAGACTAAAGAAGACACTTTTCTATAAAAAACTGTCGAAAGAAGACACGTCTATAGAATATTTATGAAAAAGGAGTCTTCTTCGTATAAAATGTCTATAGTTGATAATTTTCTATAGAAAATGTGTTAAAAGAAGACGCTTTGCCTAATCAAGTCACATTTCTATGGGAAATTGTCTAAAGAAGACACTTTTACTTTTATAGATAAATTTCTAATAAAGACACTTTTCTATAGAAAGTTTTGTAAAGAAAGCATTTTCCCATAGAAAATTCTTGAAAGAAAACCACTTTTCTGTTGGATCTTATTGGTTTACCTTAGCAAAAAATACCAAATGTTGTTTACAGGTCATGTATTGCATGTAAATACTATGCTGTGGGCAATAACCAATCAAATGTCTATAACAAGTAGCATCACGTTCACTGCAGACCACAATTTTACCGTTATCTTTAGGTATCATGCCTAATGGAAAAAAAATATATAAATCGTAATCATCATATTATGTTTATACTATCTAAACTTACCCATTATCATATTTATTGTGGTTGTTTTACCAGCTCCATTATGTCCCAGTAGAACGGTAATTTGTCTATTTTTAATTACCATATTTAAACGATCTGCTATTAAGATGTTACGTCCAGATGTTTTGAATTGTTTTTCTAAATCTTGTACTATAATAGCATCGGCTGTATTATCATTAATACAAGCCGTTTCATTGGTCGTTTGTTTTTGCCAAAATTCGGGTTTTAAGAAAAATAAATATGGCTGTTTTATGCCACCAGGTCCAGGCAGTATATAGGAAAGATATAAATATAGTATAGAATATACTATACATTGAAAGAATAGTATGCAATATATTTGAAAAATGCTAAATGAACAATCCGTCAAATGTTCAAATAAATGCGAAAATTCAAACTTTTCATCTGTAAATTATACAATTACAAATAAAATATTATTACCATTAATTTTATAAATAAAAATAACTTACACTTATTGCCAAATATTTGAAAACTATTCCAAGCATCGATAAAAGCATTTAGGCTGAAAATCCTTATAAATATATTTTGTATAGCTCCCTCTATATAAGCGAATATAAATGGTGGTAATATCAATAGATAACCGCAATTTTTGGCATAAAAGACTAAAGAAAAAACATGAAGATTTCTAAATAACAAATAGTCCAAAATGATAAGCAATGATTTACTAACCCGAATTAAAAAGTACTGATATTAAATATGTATACGACATACAGGCCAATATAAAGAGCAATATCAAGATGAATGCATAACCTGCTGGTATAATGCCTAAAGCATTATAAACACTTGCCACAATTAAAACAGCTATAGCATATATCAGATACATAATTAAACGTACAATATAGAAAGAAACACCATTAAGATATGACAAAGGAGAAGCTATAACAAGAAATTCCTAAAAATAAAGAACGCAGACAATCACACAAAACATAGATTTTAGAAAAAATCCCCTTTGAAAATAAGAAAGTAGTAACTACTTACCTTTAAACCATCTTGTTTCTCTTCAACCAATGGCACTAGAAAGGTACTCTCCAGCAATATAATAAAAAATATGGGAAAGATGAAACCAAACTGTATGCCAGATTCATTTTGAAAATAACCGCCACGCATAAAAGGCATTGCTCCAATTTCAACTGTTATATCTGGTGATATATTTGTTACTTGTTCTATATAGTTCATATCAATGGAATGTTGTAGTCGTATAAAGTCCTTAAAATCTCGTGATTCTAGAAAAAAAAAAGATTAGGAAAAAAGGAATTGTAAATTAAATTGAAACGTCTAAATAAGAAAGTTTACTGTAGAAAATTACCTAAAGAAAGTACAGAAAATTGTCTAAAGTAGACACTTTTCTAGAGAAAATTATCTTAAGAAGACACTTTGCCATAGAAAATTGTCTAAAGAAGACACTTTTCTATTGAAATTGTCTGAACAATACATTTTTAAAGAAAAACTTTTCTAAAGAAGACAGTTTTTTTGTAGAAAATTATATAAAGAAAACACTTTTCTATAGAAAATTGTTTAAAGAAGACACTCTTCTAAAGAAAATTGTCTAAAGAAGACACTTTTATATACAAAATTGTCTAAAGAAACTTTTCTATAGAAAATTGTCTATAGAAGACACTTTCTATAGACAACTGCCTAAAAACTACACTTTTCTATAGAAAATTGTCTAAAGAAGACACCTTTCTATAGAAAATTGCCTTAAGAAGACACTTTTCAATAAAAATTGCCTTAAGAAGACAATTTTCTATAGAAAATTGTCTAAAGAAGACACTTTTCTATAGAAAATTGTCTAAAGAAGACACTTTTCCATAGAAAATTGTCTAAAGAAGACACTTTTTTATAGAAAATTGTCTAAAGAAGACACTTTTCTATAGAAAATTGTCTAAAGAAGACACTTTTCTATAGAAAATTGTCTAAAGAAGACACTTTTCTATAGAAAATTGTGTAAATAAGATACTTTTCTATAGAAAATTGTCTAAAGAACACACTTTTTATAGACAAGTGCCTAAAAAATACACTTTTCTATAGAAAATTGTGTAAAGAAGACATTTTTCTATAGAAAATTGTCTAAAGAAGACTTTTTTCTATAGAAAATTGTCTAAAGAAACTTTTCTATAGAAAATTGTCTAAAGTAGACGCTTTTCTATAGAAAACTGCCTAAAGAAGACACTTTTCTATATAACTGTAACTATAACTTTCCTATAGAAAACATTCTAAAGAAGACACTTTTCTATAGAAAACTGTCTAAATAAGACACTTTTCTATAGAAAACTGTCTAAAGAAGACACTTTTCTATAGAAAACTCTAAAAAAGACACATTTCTATAGAAAATTGTCTAAAAACACTTTTCTATAGAAAATTATCTAAAGACGACACTTTTCTTTAGAAAATTTTCTAAAGAAGACACTCTTTTATGAAAATTGTCTAAAGAAGACACTTTTATATAGAAAAATATCTACAGAAGATATTTTTCTATACAAACTTGTTTAAAGAAGACATTTTTCTATAGAAAATTATCTAAAGAAGACTATTATATAGAAAATTTTCTCAAAAAGCCACTTTTCTATACAAAATCGTCTAAAGAAGACACTTTCTATAGAAAATTATATAAAGAAGACTCTTTTCCATAGAAAATTGTCTAAAGAAGACACTTTTCTATAGAAAAATTTCTAAAGAGACACTTTTCTATAGAAAATTGTCTAAAGAAGACACTTTTCTATAGAGAAATGTCAAAATAGAGACTTCTCTATGGAAACTTCACTAAAAAAGACACATTTCTATAGCAAATTGTATAAATACACGTCTCTTTGCAAAACTGTCTAATGAACACATTTTTCTGTTGAAAGGTTTCTAAAGACGAGACTTTCCTAAAGGGAAGAGTCTAAAAAGGTTTATTTCCTGTAGAAAATAGTTAAAAAAGACACATTTCTATAGAGCAGTGTTATAGAAAACACTTTTCTAAAAAAAAATCTAAAGAAGGACTTTATCTATAAAGAACGATGGCATTTTTCTATAGTAAGTGGTCTAGGTTTGGTTAATTTTGGTGCCATTATATTACCCTAGTGGTCACAGGAGTATGCTAAAGTATTACTATCTACTTCCAGAAGTTATCCATTCGTTTTCATTCATAAAGTTAAGGATACCCATAAGAAAGCAACTTAATATAAGGAAAATAAGGAAGAGATAGCGATGCTCTTTGTTTTCTATAAATGTAGGAAAATGACAATTCCTGCAGTAGTCATTGCATTTAAGATCTAATAGTCTGGCATGGGTACCAATGACACAGTGTCCTGTAATTACTGATACACAGTAGCATTTTTATCTGCTCTCTGCGGAAGCTTATATGGTCTAAAGAAGACCCTTATCTATTGAAATTTATCTAAAGAAGACATTTTCTTTAGTAAAAAAAATATTTTATAAAATCCCCTTTGCTTAAACAATATTATCTTGTTTATTTTATAATTTATTTTAAAATGAAAATACAAATAATCTCATTTCCTTTTTGCATGAATAGTTACAGCAGCAGAAAGGGATTGCGGTATTTTACACACGCTACAAATATAATTGTAATATTATTGTTTAACCCTTAAATGCATAGCGTACCATATACGGTACATGATTTCTCTTTAGAAAAATGTATTCTTTAGACACTTCTCTACAGAAAAAGTGCCTTTTTTTAAAAATTGTTATATAAATAATGTCTTCTTAAGACATTTGCATTATACAAATTTATAGACAATGGTATTTTTGTGTTACTTAAAATCCAAAAGAAGCCAATGGTTTCAAACTAACTTTGGGATTGGATTGACAATGTTCTTCCGCACGTTTATCAAGTAATCCAACAACAGTTCATAGACCCCGTCTAAAAATAGGACTGCCTTATAAATATGATCTTATACCCAGCAAAAAAATTTTGAAGTTGTTAAAGAAGAAGGGATATTTTCATGATTTCTTTAGTAAGTATTCTATTTAATGCGTTTTAAATACATGCCTAAATTCTAAAAAAATTGTCATCAGTGAAGGCATGAAAAATGAACCCAAATTCACTCATGTAACTCCACTATAGGAATTGTAATATTTTACTGTAATTTGGTATTCTCTTAGGAGATTTAACGAAAACGTGCATTTCATACAATAAAGATTAAAAATGACATTAATTTTTTATTAGATTTTTGTTAAAATTAGTAATATTAAGTCCATTAATAAGAGAAGAAAAAACCAAGACTGCTTAACGGATTTTAAAACACAATGGGTATTTTTCCTCTGCATGAATTTAAATCCAATCAAAATCAGTTAGTTATGTTTTATCTTATTCTATTTTTATCAATATCACGCAAAAAAATTATTTAAATATTGATAATTAAATCGAAATACCATTAATGCATTTTTAAATAAATATAGTGCACCAATGAAAATTCGCTTGAGAATCATCGAATATTCATTGTTTATAAGAACTCATTTAAATGACGAACTATTTTTGCAAATACGAACCCATGCATGCCAATGACACGCTAATGTTAAAATCATGCATGTTTCCCCTAAATATGAACCAGTTCATTATCAGTTCAACCCATGCATTTACTACTTTTTTTGCACGTCTTTTTTTGCTGGGTAGGATCGACATTTTGAGTATATGGTATGAATTTCTCTAGAGTTTGGTCCATGAGTACAACAATTTTGTGATGACTTTCTGACGCATGGTTTTTTCTTGTTTACATATTTCTGAAGGCAAATTTTTTCAGACTTTATAAGGTCACTTGTTATAATTAATAATATTTCGCACATATTTATTATAATAATCTTGAAAAATACTTAACATTTTTAATTATAAACTTATATATTAACCGCAATTTTGTAAACATACATTATATTCACTATATTTTATTAATTTATCAGTTACATTGTGGTTGCAGTTGGTTTATAAGTTCTGTATTTTGAAATATAAATAAAATTTATTTTACTGAAATTATCAAACCCTTTCCCAGTATCATGCTGCATGTTTAGTCATATTAAAACTTATTCATCCTACTTAGATTATGATGTACATTTATTGTTATTTACATGAACGTGATACGATACGATATTTAAAAAAAATCGATTTTTCAGTAGTAATTGTTTTAAAACAGCTGAATGAAACTACATTTTCAATTTAAATTATTATTTTTGTAACAGACAGAAAAAAACAGATTTGTCGGATAATGGGTTATTGGAGACTTTGTTATCAGATACCAAACAATTCGTTAAACATTTAGATATATAGATATATTTTAGATTATGCTACAACAACTATTAAAGTTAAAAACGGTTTACTAAGCACATTTTCCATATTAAAAAAACACGTTTTAAACCATTTAATAATCGTTTTCATAAGGCCTTTTGTCTATCTCTTTTTTCTACATTTTAAGATTTTGTTATAAAAATTACAAAGAAATAAAAGTATGGCCTTTTAGGTTTTAATAAGTTCATATCGGAGTATAGCCCCCTTATTCATAAACAACATTTTATTTTATAAAAGGTTTATAAAACAAAATTTCCATACGAAATTTGATTTATAAATCGTTTATAAAATAAAATTGAGTATTTTTTATAGAAAAAGTTAAATTCAAAATCACAGTATAATGTGCTTTTTTCCTTTTATCGGCAATTATTTCTTGTTTTAACAAAAATAACACACAAAATGGGTATTTCATGATATAAAAAATGTTGATAAATACTAAATACATAAGTCAATCCAAATATCAATTGTGGCTGCACAACTGATTTCAACATAAATACGGACAAACGGACATGACTAAATTGACCCCGATATCTATTAGCAATCGCAATATACATACATGTGTATGTACTATATAGGGTCGGTAAATTATATTGTTGAAATTACAAACGGAATCAAAAGCTTATATATACCCTTCTCACGAAGGAGAAGAGTATGTAAATATGTAAATATAGATTAAAATTCACTGATTATACTCATTATTTGGAAAACAATAAAAATTCGCCACTTTTTTTAAGAAATTACCTTATCCATTGAACAAATCAAAGTACAGTTCAAAATTTTTTTAATAATTTTCATTTAACATAAGGACGAAATCTAAAATCCTAGAAGATTAGTTTTAAAAAGTTTTTCATGCTATATTTTATAATGATTGGAGCATAAATGAAAATATAAAATCTGATATAAAGAAGCAGGACCCACATAGTCTAAAACTTGCAACAAATCATTAATGTAGGGTGAAAATTAATAATTTGTTCTATGAATACGAATACGTGATTTACCATATAAAACGTGCCTTATATGGAAATTTGGATACGATTCGATTAACTCGCAATAAGAATTTTAATTAGCATTGATGAATAATATTACTATGTATATATTTGTATTTACTTACGACTAAATGATGTATCCAAACTATCGGTCACATATCTCTGGTCCGTTCGCAATTTCATACGATTTGTATAAATGGTATACTTCAGAGTCTTCTCACCCACTTTGGGAAATTCAAAATATACCCCCTCACAACGTTCCTTACATTCCTCAATTGTTTTCATCATTGTCTCGCGATGCGAAAATGTTTGTATATTTAAGTCACTACCACATATTTGTTCCATAAATGTCACAACTTCGGGAGTGTCCGGTGCATAGAATGTTTGCTTATGACCCACTTCCACGTCAAATAAACAGCCATTGTTCTAAAACACAAAAAACATATTGGCATTTTCTTACTTAATAATTTCCTGTAGTGCTATAGGGTAATAATATTCTATATATACCAATGTATCGGGACTTTCGGGATCAGAGTACTGTTTCAATTCATTAATTGGCTGATACATAAAATAAAGCAATAGATATTGTAGGCCAAACAAAGCTGTAATTATCACACTCAATGATTTCCAATGGAAACGTAATACCATCAATTGTTTATAAACAAAGAGTAGAAATATATTATATTTCTTCATTTTTTTAAGTCGTTTTTCAACTGTCCCGATATATGAATCAAGTTAAATTAATATGCATTCTTTGTAAAAATTATTAATATTGTAAAAAAAAATTATATACAACAATGGATAGTGCAATTATAAGGGTGAAGTCAATTCTACAAAAACAACAAAAGTTGTATAGTTGTGTCAATGGTACCAGCACTTGAGGGCGATCGCACAATTGTCAATTTTTTTTCATATGGAATTTGACAAACGTACGACTTAAGCCCGTATACAAGTCTATGTATAAAAAATTGTAAACTGGGCTAGTAATGTCACCTTGTATTTAGTACACCCTGATTGTGTCAAAAAGTATACATGTTGCCAGAGTGTTCGAAAAGTCGAGTTTTCATAAAGCGCCTTGGCGACACATCAAATTGGTTGGCTCATGTAGGCATGTCGGTTAAAGTCCTTAAAGCCCCCTTCACACGAGCACATAAGTAACATGATCTGTCAAAATTTTGCGTAGAAGAGAACGGATGGGATCGTCTAAACGCAATATATAATGAAATCATCACACATTGAGAGAAGTGATTCAAAAAAATTTAATAAATTCATTAACACAAAGTTACAGAGGTGTCGCTTTTGACATTTAAAATAGTCTAAAATCAGCTTTTGTTTGATTTTGAAATTGTTTGGTGAGAAGAGGTATATGAAATACAGCTAAAAAAATCATTGAAATCGTTTTGTGCGAATGAGAGGGAAATAGTTTTTTGCTCGTCAGATTTGACGGATTGGTCAACTGTGATGGATATATCCATCAAGACTGATTAGTCAACCCTGACTAACATTTCCATCATCCTTGATTAGTTAACAACAAAAGAGTGAGCAGTTCAAATATATGTTTTAAAGTCAAGAAAATTCATAAGTGTGAGGAAGATGAAAAATCACACGTACGCAAATATTTCCATCACATTTTTCACATTGCCCTTAAGAACTTGATAGAAACTTTATTCTACGCAATGATAGATATTTCCTTCAGTAGTGTCAGTCAAATGTCCGGTCAAATGACTGTCACTGTTCTTGTAGGGATATGATATGGCATCTCTCAACTTTCTGTATGTTTTTCTCCCTCTCTTTCACACACTCTTTTTTGACGTTTTATTTTCACTCGTATATTTATGTTGATTGCGTGAATATTTTTTTTTAGTGGCGAAGAATTAATGAGGAAAGTTTCTAATTTGTGAATAATATTAATTTAAAAAAAGTCAATAGAATTTGTAAAGACATTTAAAAAAGACAATGGCTAAATTCTATAAATTAGATATAAATCGTACAGAATGGGAAATACCAGATACATACCAACAATTACAGTCAGTGGGTAGTGGGGCCTACGGTCAAGTATGCAAAGGTAAATATACAAAAAGATAAACTGGAAATATTGAGTTTATTTGTCTGTATACTAATCTGCTAAACATTTCTTAATGATAAGATATTTACACAAATAAAATCTTTTTTCTTTTGAAAAAAATTCCATTTAGCTGTGGTACGTGGTACAAATATGAAAGTGGCCATTAAAAAGCTGGCACGTCCTTTCCAGTCAGCCGTACATGCGAAAAGGACGTATCGCGAATTGCGTTTGTTGAAACATATGGATCATGAAAATGTCATTGGTCTTTTGGATGTTTTTCATCCTGGACAGCCAGTCACTTCTTTGGAGAATTTCCAACAGGTCTACATGGTCACACATCTAATGGATGCTGATCTTAATAATATTATAAGGACACAAAAGTTGTCAGACGACCATGTACAGTTTTTGGTCTATCAAATCTTGAGAGGTTTGAAATACATACATAGCGCTGGTATTATACACCGTGATTTAAAGCCTTCAAATATTGCCGTCAATGAAGATTGTGAGTTAAGAATTTTAGATTTTGGTTTGGCCAGACCGGCGGAAAGTGAAATGACTGGTTATGTGGCTACCCGTTGGTATAGGGCGCCCGAGATTATGCTGAACTGGATGCACTACAATCAGACTGTGGACATATGGTCGGTGGGTTGTATAATGGCAGAATTGCTTACGGGACGTACTTTATTTCCTGGTACCGATCATATACATCAGCTAAATTTAATTATGGAAATCTTGGGTACACCACCAGAAGATTTTATGCAAAAAATATCCTCTGACAGTGCACGCAATTATATACGTTCACTGCCTGTCATGCAGCGACGCAATTTCCGTGATGTTTTCCGTGGTGCTAATCCTCAAGCCATTGATTTGTTGGAAAAAATGCTCGAACTCGATGCTGAGCAGCGCATAACTGCCGAACAGGCTCTGGCTCATCCCTATATGGATAAATATCATGATCCCACTGATGAACAAACATCACCTTTGTATGATCAAAGTTTTGAAGATATGGATTTGCCAGTGGATAAATGGAAGGAATTGGTATTCAATGAGGTCTTAAATTTCAAGCCTTTACCAGCCTACGCTGATGTTTTGAAGCAAGCTCAAGAACAACCACCACCATCATCTGCAGTAAATTAGTTTTAAGAAGTTATAAATAACATAGGCAGCGAATATAACCTCAAATTTTGCAAAATGTACTTAACCTCAGTTAAAGTAACTACTTATATAGATTTTTTAAAAACTTTTTATTAATTTAAATTAATATTTTACTATTATTAAGAAAAAAAAAAAAAAAAACGAAAACGTAAACAAAAACTATGCCTTAAAATCGTTAGTCGATTAATTATTCTATTAAAAAAAAACAATATAAATACACGTTCAATTTGTTGGTGGTATATATTTTTAAAATATTCAAGTTATATATTAGATTTATAAACTCTTAAACAATATGTTCAATTGTAATTTAAATTAAGCTTTCAATAAATAATTGAATAAAATTTCACTTAAATAGAAACGGTCCTACCTAACACTTTTAATAAACCTTTTCGACTTAAAGAAATAACAATTTCTGCCATCGAAAAAAATTGTTTCGTAATAACCATAATAATTTTAACAAAATCGTATATTAAGATTTTTTAAAAAATTCTTTTGTTTTTTCCAACAAAAAATCGATTCTTGGATTATTTGAATGATGCATAGATTTTGCAAAAAATTTTTGTTCAGTGTATTTTTTTTCCTATTATTAAGTGGCAACACTAAACCACTAGTATGTTATCATTTAATAGTGAATGTCAGAGACTTGCGCCGATTCGGCTTAAGCCGACTAAGCCTAGCCGCCGAACAAAATGTCAAAGCCGCCGCCGCCGAAAATCTTTCAGCTTAATACGGCTTGAAAATTTCGCCATATTTTGTACAATTTACAGAATACTTTCGCTAAATTTGTGGAATTTTACAATATAAAATTAATTTGTTTTCATTTAAGCAAGTTTTCTTTTACTTAATAATAAGCCGCTCATTGAAATTTGGCCGGTGTAGAACTTTGCTCAACGTTCGATGTATATGCTTCGCCTCAGATATTTTCGTGTTTTCGCGCCTAATTCGAGTCGCTGCTTTGACTTCAAACCAGCTTCGTTGACGTCAACGGAGCTACACCTTTTTACATTGCTGGTATGTCATACCGTAAAGGGCTAGGGTATCGAACATGTGTATTTCAAATGGGAAGTGCAGTTGATGTCAATTCTGCCGACTGCGAAAAGAAATTCTGCTAGAATTTTTCGCGCCAAACTGTTTTCTGCATTTTTTATTTGCCAAAAAAAATCTGTTGTTGTTTCGCACACACTGTGCGAAAATCTAAAATGACAGAAATGTTATTCTTTAAATAAAAAAATAATTTTTTACTAAAAATTAAAATTAATAAGATTGTATGCTATACTACTATACCGAGGGTCATTGTACAAAGAAACAGCAAGTGTTGGGTTGAATTTAGTTAAATTGTTAATAATTATATGGGTTTGTTTTCGTTTAATACCCAAAAGTGTTTATCGAAATCTATATTTGACATATTTGTGAGATCTAGAAGATTAAAAAATGTATGTAATGGTGTTAATTAATTATTTATTTGTCTATAATGAACGTCTTTCTTTTCAAGAAAGAGGAGGCATCATGAAGGTCTCCTGGAAGAATGTCCACAAGAGAGTGGCAATTGTATACCTCCCTAGTAGCCTAGGTGGGTGGTGGTCGGTCGGCTAGTGGTGACATGGTATATTATCACCTAGAGGCAATGGAAGGAAGCTGATTACCGTATTCAGGGGGTATCCTTGAGACACATACTTATTATTATACCATTGATCTTAGCAGAATCACTACCATACACCCATAATAGAGCGCGATGTCTGTCAGGTGTGCCTTTCAGTGCAGCTCTTGTTGTCTCCAAACACTATGGTGGCCGAATATTTACAAGAAACAATTGTTAAGCCGTCTTTTATACAAATTTATAGCTTTGTAGAGAATGTCTTCACGGACCTAGAGGATAGAACCTGGGTAGGTATGTAGATGTTGTTTGGGCAAAATATTGGTACTAACCATTGTGGGCTTTAAGTCGACTTTAGATCCCTTATAGTTGTCACACTATACCAAATAAGCATTCTTGCTGGAATTAAAGTTTAAAACATGTTTAATTCCAGTCAAACATTCAAATTTCAAGTGTTGAAATTCACTTTCATTACACTTTAATTCAATAGAATTCTCCAGTGAAAACGAAACTTGAATTCAAGTCGAACATTAGAATCTTTTTACAGTATAATTCAATGCACGAAATCTATATACAGTGTCTCTCATAAGTATTCGAATTTAGGTAAACTATGAAAAGAAACCAAATTTAATAATATATTTTGTGTGCCAAAAAAAATTAATTTGTTATATTGTCTAGACAGCCCTTAAGTTTGATATCACGCTTTTTAAAACTTGAAAAATTTACATTTACTTAAATTAAATTAGCTTTTTTTAAAAAAGTCCATAAAATTGCCTCACAAAAGTATACGAATTTTTACTGTATTTCATATTTGAGCATATTATACGAAACACAAATTTTAGAATAGACTAGTTTTTATGCTTTAAATTGTTTTAAGGGGTTACTATCAACCGAAATGATATATTTTAGGCCCATTTGGTCCACAATTTTTGGGGATTTGTACCCCTCTTTTTATGTAATACCATTAAAATGGCGATTTTTGGCAATATTTGTAGTATTTTCTCT